ATTTCTACTAGCAAAGAAATGCAGTCAGGTGTGCACACACTGAAAGGGCTTCCGAAGCATTCACCCCAAGACGAACTCAAGGCCTGAATCCATCAAGAGTGACAGTGGCCTTGCCCAGGTCGCTCAGGGCCCAGCCACACCTGTGCCTGCTTCCGGTTCGGCGCAGGACTCCCCAGCACCATTCAGCAGCCCCCAGTCCTGCGTGGGACTCCCACGTGGGGCACGTACACTCTTAAAGCCGACACCACGACACCCGCCTGCGGCCCACCTGGATCCACTGCTCGCGGTTGATCTCCACACCGTTGGCCCGCAGCGAGGTGATGGCTCGGTCAATGATCTTCTCCACCATCTGTGTGTTCCCATTGGCTTCCTCCAGCTTAGCGGCCGTGATCCAGATGTGCCGGTCTGTAGGAATGTTCTCTCGCGCCTTGTTCAAGACCTTGCGGGCATTTTCATAGGTCTCCAGCCTCGCCAGAGCAAGCCAGAGCTACGCGGAGAGGACACCAGAAAAAGGAGAGGACACTGTGCTGAGGGGACAGATGCAGGCCAGACAGCGACCCACCCTGCAGCACGGCCACAACGCTCTTTCTTAGCGCTCGAGAGCCATTTGAACACGGCCTGAGAAGCGTCCACAGCAGCACTTCTCACCTGACCAACTGCTCACTGATGCTTCTGACTGACTTAGTGACTCTGGTGAGCAGGAAAAGATTCTCAGTGGAATGTTCACAAACAAACAAACCAACAAACATATCTCCACAAACAAACACTGCCTCCACAAACAAACACTGCCTCCACAAACACTGCCTCCACAAACAAACACGCCTCCACAAACACTGCCTCCACAAACACTGCCTCCACAAACACTGCCTCCACAAACAAACACGCCTCCACAAACAAACACGCCTCCACAAACAAACACCACAAACACTGCCTCCACAAACATGCCTCCACAAACACTGCCTCCACAAACAAACACTGCCTCCACAAACATGCCTCCACAAACATGCCTCCACAAACATGCCTCCACAAACAAACACTGCCTCCAGGCACACAGAGCGCCAGACCTGATACCAGGGGCTGGCACAGATGGGCAGGATGAGGCTACTGCCCTCATGGGCTAAACACACGGAAGGGTGTTCAGCCTCCTGGAGTTCCCAGACTCTTGGCTCTGCAGCACTCCATCCCTAAGATGTGTATGGGCTTTATTCATTTTTATGTAAATAAAACAAGATTAATGTTGTTTGGAGAATTTCACAATACCCCTTAGGATAATTGAAGACATACTAGGTATCACAAAACCAAGACTAAAAATCACTGCACAGAATGCTGTGAACTGGAATGCCTAAAACCAAAGAAATCCCGCTTAGCTTGGAGGCAAAGAGCAGTCACGCGGGGCTGGCAGAAAGCAGTGTTTTCTATCACCCTCCCACCTTCGGCTCCCATGACAAACTCTGGGCTGAATGAGAGGAAATGGCGCCTGAGAGCACTTTCTGCAGTGGTCAGGTACGAGCTAAGATTCTCTCTGCACTTCCATTAACAGCAAAACTAGCTGAAGCCTCTCACCACCCTGCCTAGCAGCTGTGTACAGAACGGTATCCTGGGGCTCCGTACGGCCTTCTGCTCCCAGAAAGCGCAGCCTGAGTGAGCTCAATGCTCCACTTACATCATCACTTCCAGACACAGAACCTGGGCTCGGGCCTTGGCCACTCTGGGCTCTGGTGGCCCTGAGTCCGCCAGACTCACCTCCACACTGGTGGGGCAGCACTCCACAGCCCGACTCAGCATGATTCTGGCATCTTCAGGCTCTTCCAGCTCAACAGCTGCTTTCCACAAGCGAACCGAGTTTGGAACATGCTCGAGGGCTAGGAAAGGTCAAAGGAGAAACCACGTTACAGAAAAGGAGACAAAAGCAGGAGGCTCATGTGGTGAGCATGCTGCTGGTCAGGGTGAGATGGACTTCCCCGGTGACAGTCAGGGACCACACACCTGCCCTTTAAGTGGCTTCCTTCAGTTCTGGGGCAGACACAAACAAGGACAAACAGAGCATCTTGTGGTAGCAGAAAGCAAGGAAGTGACTGAAGACTGCCGGGGTCACATCAACAGGACTCAGGAAACCAGCAACGACGGGAATGAACCTCAAAAACATGCTGAACAACAAAAGAAACCAGTCCCAAAAGAGTTTAGACTGTACGACTCCCTTTATGTGACGTTGAAAACAGGCAAAACTCATCTTGGTAAAATAAGTCAGAAGCATGACTGCCAACGACTGGGGACAGTGCACTGACTGAGAGGCACCAGGGGACTTTCTTGGGGGATGGAAATGTTTTTGTTTTTGTTTTGAGACACAGTCTCATTCTATTGCCCAGGCTGGAGTGCAATGGCACGATCTCAGCTCACTGCAACCTCTGCTTCCTGGGTTCAAGTGATTCTCCTGTCTCAGCCTCCCAAACAGCTGGGACTATAGGTGTGCACCACCACGGCCGGCTAATTTTTGTATATTTAGTGGAGATGGGGTTTCACCATATTGGCCAGGCTGGTCTCAAACTCCTGATGTCAAGTGATCCACCTGCCTCAGCCTCCCAAAGTGCTGGGATTACGGGTGGAGCCACGGCGCCCACCCTGGAAATGCTCTATGCCTTGACCGAGTGTGGGTTATATGAGTGTATGCACTTGTGAAGACATCAAACTGCACACTTAAGATCTACGTAATTCACTTCAGATATTTAGGGGAAAAAAATGCCAGTGTCTGAAATACCTCTTTTTTTTTTTCTGAGACAGAGTCTCGCTCTGTCACCAGGCTGGAGTGCAGTGGCATGATCTCGGCTCACTGCAACCTCTGT